GGGGGGAAAGCTGGCTGGGGGCCACTGCTCAGGAACAGGTTGGGCACCAGTTGGCGAGTGGTGAACAACTGCATTGTGCATCATTTGCTTTGTATATTCTAACTCTTTTATTATTATTAGTACCATTATTATTATCATTATTATTATTTTCTTCCTTTTCTGCCCTATTAAACTGTCTTTATCTCAGCACACGAGTTTTCTCACTTCTACTCTTCCAGTTCTGCCCCGCGCCCCCCCCCCCCCCCCGCTCGGGCGGGGCCCCCCCCCCCCCCCCCATCCTGCTGGGGGTGGGGGGAGAGTGAGCAAGCGGTCGAGTGGTGCTTAGTTGCCGGCTGGGGTTAAACCACTACAATGACCTTTAAAGTTCCCTTCCAACCCAAACTATTCTATGATTCTATGCTGAGGAGAGACGTAAACACTGATCTCCCCATTTGGATGAGTGCTTCACCTGCTAGGGTAGGAAAAATAACCTTCATGGCTACTATTGAGCCCATAGTGGCTGAAATGCAGTTTGGAGAGAGCCTGGCCATGGCTGGGGTCCTGGATCAGAGTCAGCCTCAAGCCTCTCTGTGGGTCCCCACGTATGCCAAGGCAGAGATCAGGACATGTAACAGAGTGTGAAAGTCAAACAGTGAGGCACTGTGCGAGTCTAAGCACTGCCAGCGTCGGCTGGTATCTGAGCAGGATTCAAGGATGTTAATTTTGGACTTCATCGCTGAAATTCCACCTATGTCCTGCTTCAGATTCATGCTTTTCTGGATCTACTCCCCTGTGCCCTCATCACAGCCAGGTCAATTTGATGAACTGCTCAGTGATTCAGCCTGCACTAACTTTAAGAGCTAAGTGCTTTTGCCATCTTTCATGAGAGAAGCCTGAAATGAGCACTGCTTCAATATGTCAAATTAAGGCTTTGGTGATTGAAGTTTTTCTTAAGTACTTCACTGATTCTCTGTTCCGCACTAGCTGCTGAGATCCAATGGCAAATCTTTTTGATGGCAGGGTTTTCTTGGTTATCAACTTTAACCTCAGGAAAGACTCAACAGTTCTGGGGTCAAGTACAGTAAGAAAAGACTTGGGATGCAAGTTGAAGTCATGTATTAAATAAGATAAAAATTAAGTTGTGAAAAAAATAAGCGTGTACAACAAACAACTGGAAATTCAGCTTTCAGGTAATATTACTGGCTTGATACTCTTTGCCCCTTTGGCTGTGTGTTCCTAGTACAGAAAAGTACTCACTCAGTAACTGTGCCATTGCAGTTCTCAAAAGTTGCTTTGCTTTGCTGTTTTCATTATTTAAAAAAAAAAAGCGGGGTGGGGGGGGAGGGAAAAAGGCTTTAGGGAAGTAAGAGAAGCTCAGCAGTTTTCTCAGGAACCTCAAATCTAACATTCTTCAATATCCTCATACATTTTATTCTTCACCTGCCTTGGCTGGTTGGCTCTTTCACACAGTAATTACTTTCACTATGGAAAACAAGTGCTTCTAGCTGTGTGCCATGTGTTCTGTTTTTCTGAATGTTCCTGGCATTGTCCCCTGGCCTATCATTATTAACTCTATGTTCAATTAATTTTACTCATCTTCCTACTAGCCAAGAAACCGTCAGCACCCACGGAAGAATTGGAAGATGCCAGCCTGCCAGCATCTGAAGACAGTCCACAAGCCTTACTTGTATCTGAATCCCCAGATTCCCCCCAGAAACTAACAGAAAGAAATCCGGCACAGCTTCCTAGCCCTCCGTTGCTCCCAGCTCCACCACCTAAGGCAATCTCCAAAATCACAAAAAGCGTAACAGGTCAGTCGTTACTGGTCAGTCAAGACTTTCCCTTCCCTATGGGTTCTTTGCCTACACAGCACAGCATATGATTTTTTTCTTACAACCTTTTTTAAGCCTATCGCTGCAAAACGCTGTGAATTAGGCTAGTTATATTGAATGAACAGAATGCTAATGATTTCTACGAACTGAGCAGTCCAGTTGCCTGATAACAGCACACTGATCTTTGTACTTCACATATTTATCTGAATTTCTCAGGGGATTATTTGTTGCAAGTCTATTGCACTAAATGCATGTTAAAAAAAAAAAAATCAAACCAACTGTAAACATCTGCTGAATCAGATGCTCATATCAATATGCCATAAAACACAATGAAGATTTAAATGTTTTCATTACTTAGACTCGGGCTGGATAACAGTACAACAGCTAAAATCAAATTCAAGTCAACAGGTTCTGCAGAGGTTTCTGTCTGAAGGGTTTGCTCTCTAGGGTAGGTCTAAACTAGACCTACGAAATCTCGTCTAGTTACACAGAACACACATAAGTGATATACCTAGCTCCCACAAAGCAATCCTCTGTGCCAGACTTCATTGAATGTTTCAAGAGCAATTCCTCTAGGCCTGATTTTCTAATGTATTGCCAATGTTTGTTACATTTTCCAACATTCTGGCACTGCAGAAAGGGTGTTAAAGTGAATATGACTTTAGTTCGTTCCAATTTTAGAGCCCTTACATATGGTAAAAGCAGTTAAAAGGGCCTTACTGCAAATTAGAATGAAGTCCTGACATCTAAATGTCAGACCTGTTGGATATTTAGACTTTTAAATGACAGCCATTATCTCAGCCCTGACTTGCATCCACACTCATCTACTGGCACAATGAACAGGGTTTTCAAAGTCACCAGGAAAAAATATATCAGAGGGGCACTGTGATGTGATCACTGGGCTTCACAGAAAATATTGAGGTTTTCAGTCTTTTTGAGGAAATTTACAAGTATTTTTTTCCCATAGCAAATATCCGTATTTTGTCCATGCTTAAAAGCCAGAAGAGTTTAAGTGGGAGCTGGATTCAAAATGGTATCATAATGCTCCTCGGGATTGCTTCAACATTCTGCGCTATGGGTCAGGCTCTAGCTTGCCCCTTCCACATTGCGACAGGAAGAGGCACAACCAGGACACCCCTTTGACTTTGCTCAACTGTTGAGAAGGTCATGCTCTGCAAGAGATGTAGGCTATTTGGAAAATCTGACCTGTAGAGGGTAGCGCAATTACAGCTCCACCAGGCACCTCGCAGCATTTTGAATCTAGATATTTTGCTGCTTAACCAAAGTATTTCCTGTAACATCTAAGATATTCTGAGTTTTGGTATTTCTTTCTCATCAACATTTTCCACAAAGAACAACTCTTAATTTTCTCGATGACTCCAATAAGTATAGATTCTTTTTCAATAGTGATCATACATTCGTTTATTTTTGTGTAGATGTGGAGGCAGTGGTAAGTTAAGACTAAACAAATACTGTCAATGAGTGAAAGGGAATACAAATATATGAGGAGAGAGAAAGAGTGATTATGAAAGAAAAGGAAGATGAAGAGGTTGGAAAGGTCTTTTGTGTTTCGTTTTTCCCCCCTTAGTAATGTTAGAGATGCTGTTAGCAGAGGAGTGAGGAATAAGCCAAGCATCAATTAATCACAGAGAGAGGGGGAACAGGGCAAGGTGCCAAGACATCACTTTGCAAGATTATTCACTGAACAGCTGTCATTAGGACAAATAAGGTGTGATCCAAGGAAACTCTCAACTCTCAATATAGGCCCAAGTTGCAATGAGGATAAAATTGGCCCTTGACCTCTTCCAGGAACAAGTAGGTATAAAGATAAAGTCTCCTCCCTTCCTTCTTTAGGGTTGAGCTGAACCTGCAGTTCTTGCTCTGAGTAAACATGGACACCCTCTCTCACTGTGCAGCAGCATAAAATGACTTAAGAGGTGTTTTTTTTCATTCCCTCAGGCCATGATTCAATGGGCAATAATTGATCATAAATGTCCTCTGTGCATCTCCACAGTAGCACATAATCAAAACCCCTTAAGTGCCAAATTAAAAATCTTTGCTTAGCAGAGGTTGGCTGTCTCCTGGCTGCAGCAAACATCCTGATCAGTGCAGGAGGAGGTCCGGGGTAGGAAGGTGTCTCATTGCCAAGACATTGTACGTTGGGCACCCAGGCACTTGCAGAAATGCCCTTGTGCTTTCAGATATTTTAGATAGGGTTACTTTTGGACTAGCTTGACCCCTGTCTCCTGGATGCATAGGGAGATGAATGAAGCTCTGTCCACTGCTTAGGGTTCTGGGTTGGAGGGAGAAAAATGTGCAAAAATGCCTTCCAAAAATGAAAAAAATAACGCTAGACATTTTTTAGAATAAAAGAGAAGATTTTATTGTGGATGCAACCCTCCTCATTGAAGGATACTCTCCTCCACACCCCACAAATGTGAAAAAGAGACCAGGCTTAGTGTTGCCAACTCTCAAATTTTCAATGTTTGATTTTGGATATGGCTACAGAAGCTCTTCATCCCACTTGCGCTTTTGCTGTTCTCCTCAGTAATTCTGCCCTCCAACCTCCAGATGTCAAGCTCTGTTTGCAGCACTGCCCTTACAGAGCTGTACCAGATTTCCAGCAGTGAACTTAAGAAAAGGCACGTAGTTGGTAACCACTATGCAGGATGATGGGTCTGAGAGAAAATACTTAATAACTGAAGTTAATATTCAAACCTATTTTTGTCCTCTCCAGTTTTCTAGTAAGTTACCCTGGTAATAGGAACCAAGTTCTTTTTACATGGGTGTTTCAGGATAATCCTGGCTTGAGCAGAAGTTTTTCTCTGCTATGGACTGAAGGATTTATCTCAAAAGTAAGTGAAAAAAGTAAAAATTATCTGTGAAAACAAGTTTGTACAAAAGCTGTACAAGCTGTGTCAGTTTAAATTCCTGTTTAAAACACTAGGTGGCAACAAGAGAAAAGAAATACTCTTGTATGATGAACTTGCATTGCCTTTTTACACCCAGACTGAGCCATTGGTGTAAACAACGCCATATGCCAGAGCCTTGGGACGGAGATATAAGGGAAA